GTCCTGTGTTAAAGAAGGAAATAAGCTCAGCTGTGGTCATCACAAGGATAATGCCTTCCTCGTAATAATAGCTAGCTTACAGTTCTTGTGTGTGAACTTACTGTCAGCTGTATTGTAAACTGTCTATGCAAACAATTGGAAGACATCAGGGCAATCTACTGTATATATATATACAAGTATTAAGACTATGGAGGATGTCATAACCAGTGAACTCACCAGGTTCAAACAGGATAAATGGGCATGTAGGTGTTTTCTAAGAACGTATTTTAACTGCAAAAGACATTAGATTTAAAAAAAAAACCTATAACAACAGCTGAAACATAATGTCAGCTTAGAAAAGGACCGACAAACATCTGCCAGTAAACTGTATTTTTTTTTTATTATTAGTCCTTTATTTATCCAGGTAAAAATCTCACTGAGATTAAAAATCTCATTTCCAAGCGAGACCTGGCATCATGGCAACAAAAGTCAAAATACATGTACTACATAAGTATATAACATTTAAAACAAATACAATATCCCGTATGAACATGTGAATACAATAACAGATCAATTGAGAGCGACATCAAAAACAGTCACACTGAGTAAAAGAGTTATTCTCTCATTCCTTTAAGATGAACGTAACCTCTAATTGATGTAACCAATTCGGATAATTTCAGTTCCTTCTGCAGATTATTCCAGGAAGCAGGGGCAGCGTATTTAAAAGCTTTCCCCCCAGTCCTTTTCTGATTTTTGGGACAATCAATTGTATGAAATTGTGAGAATGAAGGCTGTGGTTGGTTGTGGTTTTTACACATGTAAATACATAAATAAGACCAACCAATGGGAGAGTCTGCAAATATGCAAAGATGGACATTTAGCAGCAGCATACAAAGAACGATGATGTACACGATTTCTATAGCCAGTAATAAAACGTAAAGCACAATGGTAGACAGTATCCAACCTCTTTAGGTAGTGGGCAGGTGCATTCATAAAAAGCAGGTCACCATAATCCAATAAAGGTAAAAAAAAAACTTGCACGAAGCAAGTGTTTTCTCACTTGGAGGGAGAAACAGGATTGATTTCTAAAAAAGTAACTTAATTTTAGTTTTAACTTCGACACAAGCCTTTGAATGTGAGTTTTAAATGACAAATTCTGATCTATAACGATCCCTAGATCATTATAGTTTTAATCTTAGGAGACGTAGCGAACACGTCTTTGCCATTTGAGAATAACATGAGCTTGGTTTTCCCTTGATTTAACCAGATGCAATTTTAAACGGCAAAAGTCTCCTTATTGTGAGCGAGAAATAAGTGTGTCGCAGATGTCCAGTCCACAAGTTCACTACCCCTTGACAAGACAGTTAACAAAATATCCTCTTGCCTGTCCTTCTGCAAAACTCAAAAGCCCTGCTCTCTACAGTACACGATCCAGTGTTCAGTAACCCAACCGGCTTCTGTCAACAATGCACAGTTTGTTTATCTCGCACATCACGTAACACCATGGGGACGGCTCAATACTAGGAATTTCCCCTTAGAAGATGCATAATAATATACAAGACAAACAAAAGTGTAATAAAAGAAGATGTGGAGGAAAAAAACCTCTGTCCAACTCCCACATTTCGAACTGTAAGAAGGAAAAGAAAAAAAATGGGCTATGTGGTTGTCCATAAAGACCATTTGTAATTTTGAAACTAATCATTAATAAAGTGGGATGCAAACGTTTGGGCAATCTTGTTAATAGTCATTATTTTCCTGTATAAATCGTTGGTTGTTACAACGTTGTACTTGTTCCTCTGCACGAATGCCTTAGTGGATTTTGAGCAGTGTTTTGGGTCATTGTCTTGTCTTGTATCCTATATGATATATTTAACTGACACTTTTTATTGTAACAACCAACGATTTATACAGGAAAATAATGACTATTAACAAGGTTGCCCAAACCTTTGCATCCCACTGTAATTATTACCAACAAAGCCTCCTAAAGCACGGCCAGCTTCGAGGTGTAAAAGGATGGTAGTGAGATCATTTCAGATTAGGAATTTTTCATGGTGTTTTGATGTTTATCTATTATTGTAGGGTCTTTACATAAAATTGAATTGATTTGGTGGTATACAAATAAAACTGAATTGAATTCAGCTGAGTGATTATGGGTGTTAATTTTACATTAACTCTAATTTTAGACCAATAAAAAATTGATAGTCCTTAATGTGCGTCAGTCAGAATCATTATTGTATTTGTTCCCTGATTCGCAAGAGAACAATCTGAAAGAAGCGGTATTCTGATTCCCTGGGATAGAGTTAAGGTTAGAGTTGGGATTGGGGTTAATAACTATACACATTAACAGTAAAAGCTCAACAAGTAATTGCAGTTTACATATTAACAACGGTTTTCTGGAGAAAAAGAAGTTCCAGTGAGGATTGCAAGTGTGATGAGCAGTAGCTATGCAGCACTATCTTTCTAAGGTTCACTAACATTGCAGCTAACTGTTGGCACACACTGGCTGCTGAAATGTGACAATCATGAAAATATCTTTGATCAGTGGCATCAATCCAATCAGTCTGGTGTTACCAACGTGAAAGTTTCCATAAATAGTAATCATCAAAATATGATCTTTTTATACATTTTGAAAATGTTGCATAATACTTGGAAAAGTTGTATCAAACTGGATGCATGTGCATGTGGATGTTTGCATGTTCTGTGCTTTAGGTCATTCATTGCTTGTCAGGTTGGTTGTGGCATGTGGATAAATAATGCCCCATCTCTTCCTCCTGGAAGTATTTTTAGAGGTGATTTGCCTTTTTGAAATCCAGAGTTACAGAAATGACCTACAAATAAAGCTTCCTCATTTCAGTTCTGTTTGACATTGTGAAAAAAATCAAGTTCCTGCTGTTTCTTCACTTTTTTTTCCCATGAATATTTTGTGTTCTTTCTTTGTCCTGATTTGTGGTCTTTGAGGTTGTTCTTTGTTAGGACTGGTCTCTGATTTTGTTTTCTTTTCTTTTATTTTTTTTACCTTTGACAGTAGAGAGATAATCTACCAAACACTCCAATCAGGGTTGGTAACAGTTATAGTACACCGAATGTAATCTGGTCCTTAGCACGTCTTAAAATTCGGCAAATGCAACCTCAGATGAAATATACACCATGAAATATCACACCGTGATGCAGAAGCAGGCCTGTGAAAAACGAATCATACTCTACTGCTTCTATAAGAATTAAGGATTAGTAACAGTCAGGAGCTATTAATAAAATTGACATGATGGACTGATCATTATTAATGTGAACTGTTAGGTGTTAAAGTTAATGACAGTACAATTAGAGCTAGAATGATCAAGTAAAGACTGCCTGGAAAGGTTGCCAGGAGAAAGCCTCTCCTCAAAATACATGGCAGCATGGCTTGGGTTTGCAAAGTTGCATTTGAAAAAACCACAAGACTTCTGAAACAATGTCCTTTGGACAGACCAAAACCAAGTGGAATAATCCACAGAATCACATTTGCCAGAAACTAAACACAGCATATCAGAACAAACACCTTATATACCAACCGTCAGGGCTCATGATATGGGCTTTTTCTGCAGCCATAAGACCTGAGCGCTTTGCAGACACTGAAGTCCTCTGTATACTCAAACCCTTGCTGAAGTTTTTATACTGTGTATAACCCTCAGTTTTAACTTGATTTACAAAGTCTGAGTGCCACAAAGTAAAAGCACATCATTGCACAGCAGTGGTTTGTATTATGGCTCGATACAAAGCTCAGTTTTTCCGTGACTAATAATAGTGACCATGGTAATTTTTCTGAAATAAATCCATTATTGTGATGAAAATCTGAACAGGTCCAATCTGCATTTCTAAAGAAAACTAGCATGTTTAGAAATGCTATGTTGAAAATGTCTTGCTCTATTAAAAAAGCACTTAGGAAAGATTCGACAAAAATGTTATTGGGGGGCGTGCTATTAATTTTGTCCTCATTGGTAGCTCAGTACGTAAAGTGGCAAAATAAAATGAAGCTGCCAGAAGATAAAACAGAATAAAATAAATTTCTGCATTAAAACCTAAATAACAAAACTGCTTGAAATTGTTATGAGGAGACTCGTGTACTTGCTTTAAACATTCATGGATAAAATCACCACTTATACTGCAGGTCATGTAAAAGCTTTCTCCCTTTTAGTTTAGCTAGTGTCAGTTGGGTGTGTCTGAGCGGACACATCAGTTACAAGGAAATTGAATTCTCTGTATCAGCTGCATGTTTTGCTATAACAGTGTGATGGTGAAATACTATAAGGTTTTCCATGTGCTTTGCAAGAGTCTGCTATTTAAGCAGCAGGTTTCACAGCATTGCAACATTACAAGGCTGGTGCTAACCTGACTTTAGCTTCTTTTCTCTGCTCTGTCACTCCAGATGGTACGTGACAGTTCTGTCCCTACTACGTTTTTGTACCATCTTCAACTGATCTTTGACATCAACTGATAAGGAATGAGAAAAGAAACAAAGCATGTGTACTACTGACAATAGAAAACCAAAATAAGCTTGCGTCATGTCGCACCAAGTACTGATAATATAGCGTTTTGTGTACTTTAGGGCATGTGTACCGTGTAAAGTGGCACGTTTTCCATTTGATCAACACATTACCACGGCAGTATGAAAAATATTATATAAAAAGGTGTGACTGTGGAATATCAGGCTATTTTAAAATAAATATTTTTAAGTGAAATCCAATCTAATAGTTATGCGATATTTTATGATACATACTGTTTAGTTATTAAGCACTTTTTTAAAAAACACAATTTTGACAAAGTGCTATACAAATCACCAAAACACTACACAAAAAATCAGCAACAACAACAGTGATAAAAATACTACTGTAAATAAAAGCTAAGAGTACACCACTCTCATTCGGATTTAAAAGCCAAAGAATAAAAAAGAGTTTTAAGATATATTTTAAAAAGAGGTAACAAGGGGGCTGGGCAGGAGATCATTCCACAATTTGCGAGTGAAAAGGCTCGATCACTGGTTTTTCAGAATTGTGTTAAAGATTCCACTTTACCTTCGCTGAAAGCATTAACGTGGCTGCCTTAGCCTGATGAAGTTGACTGCTACAACAAAATGCGAGCTGAACAAAGGCAGTTCACTCCCCTGGTGATGAGTGTACTTTTACTGTTTCTTGAGTGCTTTTGAGTTACTGAACACTGTTTGAAGTATATAACATTTTTATAATTTCTCCAGTATGAAAGCAAGCAGAACTGAAGAATGAAAAAAAAATACACAACAGAGATTTATATATTCAGATTAATATTATTATGTAATGTGGAACACATGTTTGACAAAATATCTGCAAAACTGTAAATGTAAAGTTAAAGGTTTAATGAAGAAGAGAAGGAAATGAGCTAAATACAACTGTTATGACACAGTGAACGGAAGCTGTTTCCAAGGTTGCTCAATCGGAATTCTTTGTGGGTTTTAGAGGTCAAAGACTTCAGAAATAGTTAGAAATCCTCCATCCATCATTTTCAACAATAGAAGATGAGACTATGAACACAGGAAACAACAGAGAGCTATTACTGTAAGTCTGTAAGTGATGTAAGTTTGCTTTCAAACCAGTTTGTCTGTAATCAAAAGTTTAGATTTGTGACCAGGACAGCCTGGAGAACAATACTGAAGTCTACTTAAAAGAAATCTCATCTAAGAGAGTTCAAGCTGAGCTGAAGAATAAAACTGGTCACACCAAATATTGTGTTTCAACAACATCAGAACTCTATAAACTTTGACTTTGCCTAATATACTTAGATTTACTAGATGTATCTTTTAACAATACACCTGCACCTATTTTTCATAGCAAAACATAGAACTAATTGGTGGCTTTAACATATTTGCACATTACTGTATATTTGTGACACACTGGTGAATGCTCATGTTAAACATGGCTGAGGATGGTGTATGTAAAACGAATCACTGCCAGGCTTCAGTTTTTGTGTGTGAGTAGATATCTCCAATATGGAAGTTTGTGAGCACAGACACTTCACTCATCTGCTGTTCAAACCTTCTGTTTGTAAATTACTGCTGTACGATGCTGCAAATGTTGCCAATACCAATGCAGACACTTTGAACCTATAAAGGCAGCTTATGTAGGGCAGAGCAGTGTGTCATGGATTATCAGATGAATCGTCATCAATTTGTAAATTCAGGACATATTTTAATGATCACCAAAGTACTGTGATTTTTACTTTCCACAATAATTAGTTAATACAACAAAAAACATCTTTTTGCTTTTCAGGTATTTTGTAACTGGCTTTTTGGAGATCCGGAATTTAAATGTGCCAGTCTAAAAAGCCCTTGGGGTCAACTTTAACACAATTCAGTGGGCCACATAATTAAGTTTGAGATTAGAAACTTCATTACCTTTTATTTCTTAAATTTTTTTCACAAACAACATTTCAATGCATCAACGAAACCACACATCAATGTGAACAAGTTGTCATCCTTCCCTGGCTGTTACTTATCTAAGCTTTCCCTTTTTTCACTCACATGTCATTCCTGTGCATTGTCCTTCCAGTGCGCACTGTCACGTCATCTTTTCCTGACTTTGGGATGTTTCCTATTCCACAGCCTGTGCATGTTCAGACAGCGCTCGTGACAGCCTGCGGAGCGCCCCCTGATGTTGGGGGAACTCCTCACATACGCGGTGCAAGATGGTGCTGATGGCATGCAAGCGGTCCGTCTGCCTCTGCAGGGCGGCTTCCACGGATTCGGGGGTGGACAGTGCTCGATAGCTGCCTTCACACACTGTACGCAACCTCTTGGCCCGACTCTGCAGAGCCACTAGGTGTCCTAGGTTCTAGAGAGAGGGAGCGATAATGACAGAGTAATGACATATTAATCAAATAATGAGTAGTTATATTTTATTCCTGATAGGTCGGATAAGTGTGAGTATTTTCCAAGAGTGGAAACTGTGATGAGCAAGTTCTGTGTACGTGACCCAAAAAAAAACAAGTTAAACATTCTCACCACACCTTCATTAAGTTGTGCAATGGTAACAGTTTCACTTCCCATTAGACATTTGTATTGACACATACCGGGTATCATTGTTCCTTTAACAATGAAGAGTGCATCGGATTAGAAGCCAATGAAAAGTGGATCACACCCTCACTGTACATGCAACCCAGTGTAATTCAGAAGAATAACAATTTTAAAGTACAATCACATATTCACATTCACAGTCTGTGACCCTTACCCTTTCTTTGGTATCCTGAAGAATAACAAAGTCAGAGTCGAGGATGTAACTGGTGCTGCACAGTTCTGTGAGATGAGTCTTCCTCTGCGCGATCCTGTCTCTCAAACTCTCCTTCTGTTTTTGTAGCTCCTCAATCACCTGCTCATACTCTACCACTTGCTGAAGACAAATCCTGCATGTAAGATAAATGCCCAACCTGCTCCAAGCACAAATGAATTAATGTTCCGTCAGCCTCTTTTACCATGTGTGCTTCCCGGATCTTGCGCTGTAGGCCCTGTATAGAGAGGCTCAGGTCACCCTGTGTAGCCTGTTTGAGGGAGTTCCTCATCATGGCCTCCTTGCGCAAGACGATGGTTTCCCTTCTCGCCACTGTTGCTTCGCTGTCCCTCAGCAGGCATTCCCGTTGCCTCATTAGCTGGCTGAGTCGCACCTGCACAGACACAAACACACTTTGGGTAGAATTCACAAACATTAATCACCCTAAGAGCAAATTGTTATCCAGCATTCTTACAACTTAGTTTTACGACTTTCAAGACAATTTAAAAAATATCTATAAATCTAAACCAAAGAGTAAAACAGTGAAATGTGGATTATTAAATATTAAGTCTCTCTCCTCCAAGTCTCTGTTAGTACATGACTTAATAATTGATCAACAAATCGATTTACTCTGCCTTACAGAAACCTGGTTGCAGCAGGATGATTATGTTAGTTTTAATGAATCAACACCCCTGAGTCATTCTAACTACCAGAAATCTCGAAGCACAGGCCGAGGGGGCGGTGTGGCAGCAATTTATCACAACAGCCTATTAATCAACTAAAGACCCAGACAGACTTTTAATTCATTTGAAAGCCTGATGCTTTCAAATGAATTAGGACCAATTCTGTTTACATTATACATGCTTCCCCTAGGCAGTATCATTAGAAGACATAGCATACATTTTCACTGCTATGCAGATGACACCCAGCTCTATCTGTCCATGAAGCCAGATAACACACACCAATTAGTTACACTGCAGGAATGTCTTAAAGACATAAAGACCTGGATGGGCGCACATATTAAACAAATATGTAAGAATGCTTTCTTCCATTTGCGCAACATCTCTAAAATTAGAAATATCCTGTCTCAGAGTGACGCTGAAAAACTAGTTCATGCATTTATTACTTCCAGGCTGGACGAGTGCAATTCATTATTATCAGAAGTCCTAAAAACTCGCTGAAAAGCCTTCAACTAATCCAAAATGCTGCAGCAAGAGTACTGACAGGGACAAGAAAGAGAGAGCAGATTTATCCTGTATTGGCTTCCTTTCATTGGCTTCCTGTTAAATCCAGAATTGAATTCATTGTTTGTTGGGTTTTCCTCTGTATCTAGTATTGTACGATCTACTGTACAATATAAAGCGCCTTGAGGCGACTGTTGTTGTGATTTGGCGCTATATAAGTAAAATTAAATTGAATTGAAGTCCAAACCAAGCATCAGAATGGGAAAGAAATGTGATTTAAATGACTTTGAACACAACAGTGAGTTCACTACCCTCAAACAGCATCTACAGATTTAATCTAAAAGAGCACCTTTGGGTTGTGGTAGAACGGGATCATAGATGTGCAGCTGGCAAATCTGCAGCACCTGTGTGATCCTATCATGTTGATGTGAACCAAAGACTGACAAATGTTTCTAGATTCAAAAAATTGAAGCAGTTCTGAAGGCAAAAAGGAGCAATACAATCAAAAATATTTGTATTTGTTGGGTCTATTAAAAATATTTGAACAAATCTGCCTCCTAATGTGATCCCAGTGTTAGTCCTTTCAAAACGGAGTTTGCACTGAGTTAAAGTATCTATACTTTAATTTTGCAGTTATACGTTGTATGCATCAGTAGTTCATAATGAAAAAGCAAATGAGCCATAAGATCTAACACATTTACAAAAAGCTTCAATAAGATGTATTTTTGCGGCTTTCATATTTTCCGTCACCTTGTCTCTTACAAGCAGGCACTGATTTATATTCTGAATATAATCTGAATATATCAGTATTATGTGCTGTAATCAGACACCAAGCTGACAGATTTATCTGCTTCTATAGAGAAAATAACATGACTGTGAGTTTGGAGGAGCTTGAGATAATTTTTTCCCCGAGGAGGTACGAGAAATAAAAAGACTGAGCTGTTAGTTTTCACATCCGACTGGACCTGGAGCCCTTTTTTGTCTCAGATACCTTTTTTTGATGGAAACTCCTTTTATATAAAATTACCCTTGCTTAGAGGTTTAACAGCCTTGAAACTATGACTGATAAAAGTGTCCACAATATAGTTCAATCTTCCTTTACAGTGATACCCATGTTGAGCAGTTAATGCTTAATTACATCCTACTGATGAAATCATTTTAATGTTAAAGATTGTTCAGGTAATGAGTAAACTGGAAATGAATAAGACTATGTTTACTATTCATTCATTATTCATTTCTGATCATATAATTGAACTTTTAATATTTATTCCATCTAAAGAAGAACTGAGACTGAACTGTGGGTTAGGAGAATCGTTACACCACTACTGATGCTGTAAAGTCATATCCACATTTTGTTTCTTGTACATAAACAGCACATTTGCACATGGCAGGCTAAGGCTAAAATGTAGATGGCAAATCAGCCTTACAGTCTGTCTGTAATCGTACTGTGTTTACCTCCATACGATGTATTTCAGCTTTCATCGTGTGGCTTTCTCCCTGCCCCACATCCATAGCTGAACGCATCTCTTTTACAAGCTGTGTCTTCTTCTCCCACAGCATGATTTGCCGCCTGTATGCCACACGTGCCAAAGAAAAAGAGAAAATACACACACATGCAGAACAAAGTACACTATTCCATTAAAAATCAAAGTGTTTCTCTGAGTATGTGATTCTTCCGGAAATAACTCTGCATATTTAATGAAGCCATGCAAAATTTTACCTTCATACTATGAATATGTTTCGAGTTAGAGGCATTTGAGTTACATGGAGCTGGGTTGAAATTTAAAAGATTAGTCGACTAGTCACGATTACGTCGACTATCAAAATCGCCGACAACTAATTTAATAGTCAATGGGTTGTTTGAAGCTTTGTAAGATCCTGAAAGATGCATGAATAAGTAGTAGGACTTAAGAGTTGAGAGAGAGATTTAAGAGATTTAAGAGTTGATTAGCAAATCAACTCAATAATAAATAAATTGAATATGTTTAAGTCAGAAGAAACAAGGACAAAAAGAAAGTGACTGACTCAGCTTCCACCAGACTGTTGAAGAGCCTCTCCTTTTCCTCCTGCGTCTTCTCAACTTTCATCTGCATCTTAATGGCCTCCCTCTCTGCATTCTGGTCACATTGTTTTACATAAAGTTATATATTAATATAAAACAGAAGAAAAGAAGAAAATATAAAATGACGAAACCCGCCTGTCATGCCTTAAGTCTGTGAATGAAATCTGTCTCCATCACGGCGTTTTCCTGCTGCAGAGCCTGGCTCAGTTGTCCTTTCTTGCTGAGCAGCATGTTGAGCTTCAGCTGATCACGCTTCAGCATCTTTGAGCTCTTCTCCAGCTCAGCCTCCTCACGGTGCTCTGATTCTATCTGACCTGAAAGGATTAGAGTTGGTGTGAGAATGAAGTGGAGATAGTAGCATAGTAGCATACAGGTTGTGACTTGGACGGAGTATGCAGCATGTGCGTCCTGCATACTCTCAAAGTAGAGTTTCATCTGTTGCCATCCTGTGTACTCTGCCTGCAGTTTGAGCAGCTCCTTGCTGTTGGCTTCTATCGTTTGGGTCAGTCCCATCAGAATCCCCTGTCGCTTCATCCAAAGCTGCTGGTCGCTCTTTATATTTGCTGCCAGCTCCTCAATCTGAGCTATTATTGACTGTATCTTGATGTGCAGAGGACCGAGGTCATCATGCTGCAAATGCAGGAAAAATAAATTAAAGCTGGCAGCCTCGTTTTTGAAAACAATTCAAAATGACACTGAATTATTTTCATTCACTTTCTACTTTTAAAAGCATAATTGATCAATTGAGAAGTTCGAACTTGGCTCACGATTTCCTTCCATCCCGGATTTTAAAGGATGGGTTCCATGTAATTGGCACTGAAACCACAGCACTGAAACGGCATTGCTGAGGGTTTTCAATGATCTTCTTTTAATTACTGACTCTTGCCCTGCCATTTTAATTTTATTGGATCTGTCTGCTGCTTTTGATATGGTAGACCATAAAATTATTTTAGAGAGACTGGAACATGTTAGAGGCATCAAGGATTCTGCCCTTAATTGGTTAAAAAACTGATACATGCCTTTGTGACCTCCAGATTAGATTATTGTAACTCGCTCCACTCTGGACTCCAACTTGCTCACCTCCAATGATTACAGCTCGTTCAGAATGCTGCGGCTCATCTCCTAACCGGAACTAGAAAGTTTGCCTCTATTATTCCAGTGCTCTCTGACTTACACTGGCTGCTTATTAAATTTCGTATTGATTTTAAAGTTCTGCTGCTTACTTGCCTCACACTCCTCAGCCTCCCTGGGAGAGTCTATGCCAGGGTGCTGGAGAGGAGAGTCTGTCCGTTAGTCGAACCTTGGATACAGGAGGAACAATGCGGTTTTCGTGCTGGGCGTGGAACACTGGATCAGCTCTTTATCCTCTCGAGAATACTTGAGGGTGCATGGGAGTTTGCCCAACCAGTCTGCATGTGTTTTGTGGACTTGGAGAAGGCATTCGACCACGTCCCTCGAGGGGTCCTGTGGGTGGTGCTGGACAGACACCCCATAGACACCTATGGGGTGTCTGTCCCATTGCTACGGGTCATTCAGTCCTTATACAACCGATGCAACAGCTTGGTCCGCATAGCCGGCAATAAGTCGGACTCGTTCCTGGTGGGTGATGGGCTCCGACAGGGCTGCCCTTTGTCACCGATTCTGTTCATAATTTTTATGGACAGAATTTCTAGGCATAGCCAAGTGCTGGAAGGCTTTCACTTGGGTGGTCTCAGGATTTCATCTCTGCTTTTTGCAGATGATGTGGTCCTGTTGGCTTCATCGGGTGATGGCCTCCAGCTCACCTTGGAATGGAGTGTGAGATCGACAGACAACTGGTGCAGCGGCTGAAGCGATACGCACGCTGTACCGGTCTGTTGTGGTGAAGAGAGAGCTGAGTGTAAAAGCAAAGCTCTCAATTTATCGGTTGATCTACGCCCCTACCCTCACGAGGTGAAGAGTAGTGACCGAAAGAACGAGATCGCGAATACAAGCGGCAGAAATGGGCTTCCTCCAAAGGGTGGCTGGCCTCTCCCTTAGAGATAGGGTGAGAAGTTCGGCATTTGAGAGGGGCTCAGAGTAGAGCCGCTGCTCCTCCACATCGAAAGTAGCCAGTTGAGGTAGTTCGGGCATCTGACAAGGATGCCTCCTGGGCGCCTCCTGGGTGAGGTTTTCCAGGCATGTCCCACGGGGAGGAGGTCCGGGGGCAGACCCAGGACACGCTGGAGATATTATATCTCTCGGCTGGCCTGGGAATGCCTTGGTGTTCCCCCGGAAAAGCTGTAGGAGGTGGCTGGGGAGAGGGAGGTCTGGGTTTCTCTGCTTGGGCAGCTGCCCCCGTGACCCGGCTCCGGATAAGTGGAAGAAAATGGATGGATGCTTACTTTGAAATGCCTAAACAACCTTGCCCATGACTATCTCATCGACCTTCTCAGTCTCTATGCTGTCAGCCATTCTTTACGATCATCTGGTCAGTTACTTCTGGCCCAGCCCAGGCACCGTCTGAAGACTAGGGGTGATCGTGCTTTTGCCTCTGTAGCATCAAACCTCTGGAATAGTCTTCCTGCTAGCATTCATGCCTCTGACTCCATCCAATACTTTAAAGCACGCTTGAAAACTTACCTATTCAACCTGGCTTTTCCAACTCACTAATTCTCACCGCTCCTTAATTGCTGTATCGCTACTCATTTCTCTGGATAATCATGATTTCTCCCTATCACTACTTACTAATGTGTTTGTTTCTCTGTTTTCTCTATTTGACCTTGTTTTAATCACTTACTGTTCAGTGCAATTATTTACCGTTATTCCTTACTGTGAAGCACTTTGGTGTACCCCCTGGTTTTCAATGTGCTATATATATAAAATTGCATTTTATTCTATTGTATTTATTTATGATCTTAGTAACAAGAAACCACAGCTTCCCCACAGCCACTCACCCCAGTGGTGGCCGCTATTTGAGAAATCTTCGAGTTGTATCCGATGATCGTTGACTGCTTCTGCTCGATGACTCTAACAGATGAAGTAAGCTTAGCCTCAATGGCTGTGATTAACTTGTTGTACTTTGTGATCTCCTGATCAAGGGCCTCCTGAGTCAGGGCCAGGCTGTCCACTCGCTGGCTGACCAGCTGGCTCTCCAGCTTCACCACCAACACCTCCTCCTCTGACTGCTTCAACTGGTACATCTAAAGGGGGGAAAGGAATGATGAGAAGCACATAAATCTAATATCTTCACATATTTGTTTTATTCTCTACACATTTTACAAAGAAAAAAAGGTAGGAATCAAAATGAAAAATGTAATCCTGTCACATAAAAGCATGAACAAAAAACGTTAAAATTACGGTAGTAAAATAATAATACTGAAATTGAATAAAGCTAATTTGACAATATATGAATAAATTGCATTCAAATCTCTATGGCTCTATAGTGTACATTAACCTTTATACATGTACTTATTTAACACCTGTTACTACTACTACTACTGTTACTAATCCTGTAGAGCTGTTGTTAGTTGCATTATTCTGTCATTTCAAACCAAAAGACTTCATCAGTTGCTTGTGAATTCTCTCTCTTTCTTTATCTATAACGTGATACTGCTGGAGTGTGTCTTTCACTAAAACAAACCCAAGCCAAAGACCTGGACAATATGTAGGGTATAGTGAATAACACTCTTATGATAATACTAGAGATATCAAAGAAAGGGGATTTAGTGTGAATGGTCTGAAGAGTGTTATCATAAGAGTGTTATGACAGTCTAAGCATTTTCAATACTTTCCTGCTTTTAGTTACCTTCTCTTTTTTGAGTCTGGATATCTTCTCAGTGAGCAGTTGGGAGTACTTGGCAGCGTTGTTGTGGAGGAGCTTATGCTGCATGGAGCTCATGATGTTGTTTTCCAGCTCCAGCCGTGCAGAACTCTCTTTCTCCAGCTGCTTACTCTGATCGTTCACTTGAGCCTGGAGTGACCCAAATTCCTGGAGAAATTAAGGGTGAGATTAAAAAAAGACAAAAACAAAATCAGACAGTGTAATGTTTCTAACCTTGTACCACGACTGCTCTCTGGACAAACACTGACCTTTGAGAGTCTAGTGAGGGTTCGCTCTGTCTCCTGCAGAGTGAGGAGGAATGTGCTGTAGTGGGCCTGCAGGGCCTCTTGCTGAGCCTGCTTGTCACTGATGAGCTTTCTGGTAGTGGTGCAGTCCATTTGAGACCAATTCAGCTGCAGTGTCAGTATCTCATTTTGCTCCTGCTCTGCATTGATGGACTTCTTGTAGCCATCAATGTCCTTGTCCAGCAAGATCACCTGGTGCTTGGTTTCACTGAGAAGAACAGAAAAAAAATGAATGGCTGCTCACTTTTTGCTCTGTGTTACTTTTGAATAAAAAAATCAAATAAGGGTTAATATTATCATTGAGTGTTCTAAAAATAAATTTTTTATAGACATCTGTCATTTTCTGTAGACATGTTTAGAGCACTGTCATCATTTGTTACATGTACACTTGAAGCGCATTAGCACCTTTAACGTTTACTCAGTAGGACATGAATCAGAAACAGCTTCCCACATCCATCAGTCTCACCGGATGACTTCCTGCATCGCACCGAAGGCCTCGTCTCGTCTCCTCAACCCCATGAGGCAGCTGCTCCACTGCTGCAGCAGCTGTTTACGGGCCACCAACAGTGACTCCATCTCCATCTCAGCCTGCACAAAGATGTAAAAATGAATGACTGATGTTGTTTGACGACTGCCATAATCAGAGAATTCTTATTTCATTCATGAGTTAGTAAACTTAGACAAAAACATAACCTGTTTGTCTTTTTCTCTCATCCAAATATTTTTGTGTTGACTGTATCCATTTACATCATTAAATCAACTAGTAAGATACACCCACCAGCCACTTCATCAGTCACAGGTAGTTCAGGTTGGACAAACTTGCCTTCAAAACAGCCTTTTTTTAAATTGTGGCACAGATTCACAGATGCTCTGTTGGACGGAGATGTGGTGACTGCTGGCTACAGTGAACTCATTGTCATGGTCAAGAGTCCAGTTTGAGATGTTCTGAGTTTTGTGACATGGTTCAACATCCTGTTGGAAGTAGCCATTAGAAGATGGGTAATATGTGGTTGTGGTCATAAAGGAATGAGCACCAACAAGAGTCAGGTAGGTGTGGTATTTCATCAGTGCTCAGTCGATACTGAAGGATCAAAGGTGTGCCAATAAAATATCCCCCACACCATTACACCAGCACCATCCTGAACAGCTGATACTGTGTGAATTGCCTCCACTTCCTGTTCTTATCTGAAGGGAGATTCACCCTTAGTGATTTTCTGCAGTTGTATCCCATCTGCTACAAATCATGCCTTCAGAGGTGCTCTTTCTGCATACTTTGGTTCTAGCAAGTGTTTATTTGGCTTACTGTTGTCTTCCTATCAGCTCAAAGAAGTCTGTGTCATGATCCCGGGTCTTATGACCCAGCGGTTTGAATTTTTGTGTTTTGTTATTTTGTATTATGGTTTGAGTCCACCTTGTTAGTTTAACGTTTTAGTCCCTAGGTTGTTATGTTTAGCTATTGGTTGTCAGATTTCCTTGTGTAATTGCTCCTACGTCTCCCTCTGTATATTTGTGTTTATATAATTCTGAGCTCCTGTGCGTTGTTTCCCCTCGTGTTTTGTCCCATGTTTCCCCTGCCCATGATGTCAGTCCTCTCTCCGTGCTCTCTCTCCCCTCCTGTCTGTGTCTCTGTGTTCTTCCTGTGTTACGTTTAAGGTCTGCACCTTGGGTTAGTATTTTCAGTTCCGTATCCTCCCTGTCTTGTTATGCGTAATTGTCCTCAGTAGGGGTGCAACGATACACAAAATTCACGGTTCGGTTCGGTTCGATACTTTGGTGTCACGGTTCGATATTTTTTCGATACAAAAAAATGTTCATGCCTTTTTAATTTGTCATTTATTAAAATTATAAATATATATTTTAACTCAAAAGTACAGTTTTTAAATTTAATGTTGCTGAAACAAAAGTAATTAAAAAAATAAATCTGATTGAGGAATCACTCATCTTTGGAAAAGAGAGTTTATTACAGAGAAATGGCTCTTTCCAAAATAAAAGCTATACTATACGCTTCTTCTGGGCTATATTCTCAGCAGCATATTGTAGCGGGTCAGGGCTGTTCGGGGTTCTGTTTGTACAGTTATGTTTTGTTTATGTTGCCATAGTGACGGGTGACGCCCTCTCGCTGCGACGGTGTGTCCTTCCGGGGTCAGAGGGCGCCCTGTGTGTTGTTGTTGTTGTTGCTGTGCGGTTGCCGCGCTGAGCAGTTAGCTAGCGGCAGTGTTCTTCTGCAGATGTCAATAAACGGCTGTGCTCCCTGGCTAGCTCACGGGAAGCAAGACCAAACGACACCTCCGTCTCCTCGTTGTCTGAGCTCGCCACATTGGTGTCAGAAGTGGGATGATGGTGGCACCCCATGTTCTGACCCGAGTGACTTTTCCCCCGCCGGTCGTGACCGGCCGGTGCGCCAAAAGAAGGCACCTGGACATTTGCAAAGTGAAAGCAAAAAACAAGCGCAAATTCAAACGCGATTTCAATATGTCACATATTGACAGTGGCTCACCGATGCCAATGACATAATTACCCAGCTACATTTCCGAAAGAATGCAAAAGCATTGACATATATTTTTCTTCCTACAATAGCCCGACGGGCAGGGCAGAGATAGATTTTGGTAGCCCGACTGGAAAAATCGCTAGCCCGGGCTAGCGATTTTGCAAGCCCTGTGTTACAGGCATGGCCCTTTAAGGATGAAGCCTGATGGGAAATGTATTCGGGATGTGTGTAGCGGGACTGCCTGGTGTGTGTGTGAAGAGAGAGAGCGGAGAAGGGGAAAAAGTAACGGTTAGCTACAGAAGAGACGAAAAGAAAATAAATAAAAGGAATATAATAACTCCCTCGACAGCCAGAGTTGTGTCGGCGATGCTCGCTGTGAGTAAACTGTTTCAGCCCACTGTACGCGGTGTTCGTGCCTTAGAGAAGAAATAAAGTTCGGTGAAGCAGTTTCCTACGCCTCCTTCGATCTTTTTGCTAGCGGAGTTGACCTGTATAGTAAGCTGTTGCCGGCTACGAGTCAGTTACGGAACCTTCAAGTAACTGCCAGAGGTTTCCTTACTACGGTTCGGGGCCGCGGATCTGGCGCGGTAACACCTGTATCTGATTGAGGAATCACTCATCTTTGGAAAAGAGAGTTTATTACAGAGAAATGGCTCTTTCCAAAATAAAAGCTATACTATACGCTTCTTCTGGGCTATATTCTCAGCAGCATATTGTAGCGGGTCAGGGCTGTTCGGGGTTCTGTTTGTACAGTTATGTTTTGTTTATGTTGCCATAGTGACGGGTGACGCCCTCTCGCTGCGACGGTGTGTCCTTCCGGGGTCAGAGGGCGCCCTGTGTGTTGTTGTTGTTGTTGCTGTGCTGTTGCCGCGCTGAGCAGTTAGCTAGCGGCAGTGTTCTTCTGCAGATGTCAATAAACGGCTGTGCTCCCTGGCTAGCTCACGGGAAGCAAGACCAAACGACACCTCCGTCTCCTCGTTGTCTGAGCTCGCCACATTGGTGTCAGAAGTGGGATGATGGTGGCACCCCATGTTCTGACCCGAGTGACTTTTCCCCCGCCGGTCGTGACCGGCCGGTGCGCCAAAAGAAGGCACCTGGACATTTGCAGGACTTTGTGTGGGGTAATGGGGTAGTCGGGGACGACTGACCCCTTAGGTGGGGGCTATGTAGCGGGTCAGGGCTGTTCGGGGTTCTGTTTGTACAGTTATGTTTTGTTTATGTTGCCATAGTGACGGGTGACGCCTTCTCGCTGCGACGGTGTGTCCTTCCGGGGTCAGAGGGCGCTCTGTGTGTTGTTGTTGCTGTGCGGTTGCCGCGCTGAGCAGTTAGCTAGCGGCAGTGTTCTTCTGCAGATGTCAATAAACGGCTGTGCTCCCTGGCTAGCTCACGGGAAGCAAGACCAAACGACACCTCCGTCTCCTCCTTGTCTGAGCTCGCCACAATATTAAACATATCAGGTCCCCATAAGGAGAATCATGTGCTAACGGCTGTCTAAATGACTCGGGTAAAGTTTGTAGCATGCATGCTTGTTGTTTTTGTCTGCTTCCACTTGTCTTTGCACTAGGATGATGTCGGTGTAAATGTGCAGTCATATTCGTTGTGTTCCCACTAGTGCTGTCAGCGTTAATCTCGTTGAAATGACGTTAACGCCACAACACGGCAAATCTCCGTTAACGAGCTACCCCTGCATGGGGCTAGACGGCCAACACGTTAACGAGCTAACTGCGCTAACACACTAGTTCCCACCCATGTAATTGAGCATTGCGTGGCACATCCAACATACTGTTTTACTTTAGTCCATGACGCTTACCTTCAGGGTCATACGTCACATGAAAACCAAAATAATTCCAAACGCCAGATCTGAATGAGGGTGGGGGAGGTTCAATTTGCCATGTTGCAAGGAGAGCTTAACTTCTGTCTCGCTAGCTTGCCCTGCGCTCTTCCTTCTGACTATGCTGTCTGTGTTGAGCGCTCAGTGGATCTGCGCTCGACAGTGCAGCCTAGGCGGAGTAGTCGAACGCAGATACACTGAGCGCTCAACACAGACAGCATCGTCAGAAGGAAAGTTGATAAAATAAATTATAAATTTTGTATTGTTCGATACATATGCGTACCGAACCGAAAGCACTGTATCGAGAGGTTCAATATTTGCACCCCTAGTCCTCAGCTGTGCTCCCATATGTTCCCACCTCACTCATTACCTTCTGTATATTTATGTCAGAATCACCCTCTGTTCCATGTCGCGTCGTCCCTCATAGCTGTGTGTGATTCTCGCTGTGTCTTCTTGTGCATATTATAATTAGTTTTTCCCAGTTTAGTTTCGTATTGTCGTATCGCCTGTTTCCCAGCAATAAAGCTGTGCTTTTGAGTTTACTCCCCGTGAGTTTGCATTTGGGTCGTCTCCTGCCTGCACACAGCCAAAACATGACAGTCTGGCCATTATCCTCTGATCTGTGGCATCAAACAATTTGTCTCAGACAACTGCTGCTCAAAGAATATTTTCTCCTGGTTGTGCAGTATATCAGCAGTTTAAAAAAAAAGACTGTCTCATGTGCTCCAACAACCATGCCACGTTCAAGGTCACTTAAATCACCTTTAAGAGACCTGTTCTGATGCACAGTTTGAACTCCAGCAGGTTGTCTTGTCCATTTCTAGATACCTAAATGCAAGTACTTGAATGTGAATCCATATATCAAGGAAAATTTTCACTCAATCAGTCACTGGATAAATGAACTGGACTATTGTTTTAATGTTTTCAGTTTTACTAATCGATATAAAAGCAATATTCACATCAATGACATATTTATTTGCTATGGGTAATATGAAAGTTGACACTTTTAATAGTGAAATCACCCACCACTAACTAGCACCTTATCTCACTAGCTCACTATTTTGCTTTATGTCCAAAAAAGGTGTGGTGGGCGACTAATTCTTGTTAAAGCTGCAGGGATAAAGTGCTCATCTTTTCATGTAAAGATGCAGCATATAACCTTTTACGGCACAGCAGTTACCTCTGAGAGAGCCTCTTTGGCTGTCTGTGTCTCCTCTGCATGAGCACTGGTTTTGGACTCATACATGGCTATCTGCTGCGTCAGCCTGTCCAACTCCTTTGTTAGTCGCTCCACATATAAATCCTGATGTAACAGATGAGTATTTTCGCTTAGTTAAAATTATGTTGATATACCAGATAGTGTATATATTGACAAATACAATCAAATCGTAATAATTTACATGTGAGTGTCTACCTGCTTTAATTTCTGGTCTTCTGCCTGGGTCTTCTCAGCTCTCGCTTTGCGTCTAGCGTTATTCATGGTTTTGACTTCAGAGCGCAGACCTTCACTGACTCCTTGGATGAAGATGAGATACTGTGTCATGCTGTCTAACTGTGCCTGTAGCTGGGACTCTGAGGGAGAACAGAGGAGAGAGCATAAACATAATGGCTCGAATCACAATTTCAGAAACATGAACAGATACAGATGTTGCCTTTCTGTTGCTCAAACAGTATTACATAGGCCCAACAAAGGCTGCTTTTAAAAGGGAAAGATTAAAAAATTATAAAATCTGTTTACATTTATTTTAACTTCTTAACTTGCGCCATTGAACTTTTAGGGTTTCACATCCATCAGATTCTCACTTATACTAACATAAAGCCAAATGCATAAAAAATAGTTGATCTTAAAGCTCCAGCTTTCTGGCTGAAACGTGTAAACCTAAGGGGTGAATATAAAGAAGTTGCATAAAGTGGAATCCTAATGTAATTGAATTTTACAGCATTTTATTTTATTTTACTGCAGGCTGAGTAACAATCATAAGTAGTACGAGTGAACTCACAGTGGAAAACAACCCCAAACAGAGAATGAAGCTTGATTCGGATGGAGGATAATAGTAGCAATAAAGTTCTCTTTTAAAAAAAAAAACGGAATCGTAATGTGGTCATTGGGACAGACATCAAGAGTCATATAAAATCAAAACTAATCCTGGATCAGCACAAAGACACAACCTCTAAATAACAGTCCAGGCTCACCATTGGCTCTGGCTTCGCAGACCTTTCTGGTCATGCTGGAATGTTGACTCTTTATCTCCTCCAGCTGGTTCAGAACCTGCTGGTGTTTGGTTTCGGCTTGGTTCTTGGTCTCATGGAGGTCATGCAGCCTGTTCTGCTGTCTGACCAGATGCTCCTGAATCCTGAAGACCTCCACACCTAATTCCTGATTGTGGCTAGCATCATCCTTTGCAACTGCATGCTGATGGAGGAGGAGAGCAGTTAGAAACCACAGAAAAATCAATAATTCTAGACGATAACCGACTTTATACATGCTTTTATGTTGGGTACTAAAATGGCTTTCCTTCATCCAGGACAAAGCCTGGTATAAAAGTACTGGTTCTACTTATTAGTGGTTGCCCGTTGGAACTGGAACTGAAAAAGATTTTATTGTATTTGTAACTTATTTCCAACATTGTAACCCTTTTGGGGACATTTTAAAAATAAATCTGTGACCTTCAAACATTAGTCATTATGTTAACATTATGTGAACCCATTCTGTGAACATATTCAGATAATGAGGGGAACTCTTAAAATGTTTTATACAAAGTGCTTTAAATTTCAACTCATTACATATGCTGGGGTGGCTGTAGCTCAGGTGGCAGAGCAGGTCAGCCACTAATCAGAAGGTCGGTGGTTCGATCCCAGGCTGCCTCCTGGCTGTATGCCAAATATCCTTGGGCAAGATACTAACCCCATGTTTGCCTACTGGTGGTGGTCAGAGGGCCCGGTGGCGCCAGTGTCCGGCAGCCTCGCCTCTGTCAGTGCGCCCCAGGGCAGCTGTGGCTACAATGTAGCTTGCTATCGCCAGGGGGTGAAGCGCTTTGGGGTCCTATGGACTAGAAAAGCGCTATACAAATGCAGGCCATTTACCATATGAAATATACTGTACTATAAATCAATATTCGCTATATATACCATACATGACATTTAATATATTGTGTTTGTCATCATTACCCATTTGAGTGATGAAGGCCTCACACCTTAACCCTGTAACAAGTGTTTTTCTTGGAAAGGTAAACAGTTTGTGGGTGTTGCATCTTTCCTAAACACCTGTCGTATGTAATACAGAAGATGTGAAGTGTTCTGCAGTTGCCATACAGTTCTACAGCACCATCTTCTGGACATTTAAATAGAAAAGTTGCATTTGTTTGTATAGAAACTAGCTTGTTTGCTCCTGCATGTGTGAATCAGTGTATTAACTGAGCAAAGATGGAGAGAGTTTTTGGTCAGAGAAGTGGCCGACCTTTTCCCTCAGTGTCTGGTTAATCCTCTCCAGCTGTTTTCTAAGCTGGATTGTCAGAGCAGCTTGTTGTCTTCTGACCACGGGCTGCCAACAGATTAAATATAGTATCAGTAACGTCCCAGTGGAAGACAAAGATATGTAGTATTAATGCTTCACATCCATCATAATTCAATTTTCTTTCTGATGAGCACTAAGACAAAAATCGATTCATTATTTAGTAAACACTGGTCATGTAAAGATTAAAGGTGAAGCTACAAACATGCTCAGGATCAAGAATGATCAACTCCTCTTCCTCATCTTCTGGCAGTGGCTCATGATCCTCCATCTCCTCCGATGTGTGTGAACGGTGAGCCATCTGAGCAATATCCTCTTGCACTGAAATACAGTGAAAGGCATCATTTAACCAAAAAATAAATAATCATGTAAAAAGGGTACATATTGCTATAGAATATATAGAAGTAAATCCCACAGAGGATTAATGTGTGACTTACTTAAATTTGTGGCCGCAGGGAGGTTTTCATCCATTATAGTGAGGTCATGGTAACGCTGGGCAGCAGGGCTCTCTGGCTGTGGCAGTGACTGAGCCTGTGAGTCCGGAGACAAACATGAAGCATGAATAGAGCTCCTTAATAGCTGCTGTGATTTAGACATTGAGAACTGTTAGACTGAAGATGTCAAACATGAACCTGCCCACCAAAGGGGCCAATCTGGTTGAGTGAGTGGTTTTGCAAAATGTAAAATTTGCAAAGAAGGAGGACACACTTCTTTAAGAATGGATCCTGTCATGAGGGTCCAAACTGCTGATTCCATTTGAGCCAAATGACTAACACTACTGCAATATTTTGTGCATCCAACAGTTAAGACTGTGAGTGCAGCAGCACAGCACCTGACCAAACATCCAAACTGCATCAGTGTTCAATGACCTGTTGCTAAAATATCAACAAAGTAAGGAAACAAAACCTCAGCAGATACACATCTTAAACCTCTTTGTAATGTGAGGCAGTCGCTCCACTGTCTTCTTCAGCGTCGTCACTTCCATCCTGCAGGTTGGGATCTGTCCCATTTCGGGGGGAGCTTTCCTCCCTTCCATCATCATCTCCTGGGTTCTGCATTGGACCTAAAACTTCACATGAAGATTTATATTTTCTCCAGGTGACTAATATGTGTATTTGCCCCAAAGGTCAAAGGCTAATGGTGAGAGAGAGGGCTTTTGAGAAATTTTCCGACTTTTTTCTTAGCAATGCTGAAAATATAAGAGCAAATATTTTAACTTGTGGCGCTAATCCCTTTTTTATTAGTCAGCTATTGCCACGTTTGAAGATTCTGAACATGTTTTCTTTTCTCAGATGTCATATGACATGTTTCACTTCTATAACAGATGTCCTGCCTGCCATCTTGGTTTTTGATTTAATAGACTGTGGTGTTCTCTCAATTATAAATGCAAAACTGCCAAACAGTAGTCCAGTCATTCTTAAAGAAACAAAATTTGGAAGTGGATGTCTGGAGTCTTTTGGCTAAACAATATCTATGAAATCTTTTAATCAGGTTTCAGGGTTTTTCCACAGTGTTAAATCTTCTCTCTTGAAACTGAAAAATTATATTCTAGTTGATACCTGTTCAGGTGGTTGTTCAGTTTTAGTTCTGCTGAATTTGAGTGCTGCTTTCGACACCCCATGACTTACACACTCATGACTTACTCTGTCAGTGCGCCCCAGGGCAGCTGTGGCTACAATGTAGCTTGCCATCGCCAGTGTGTGAATGTGTGTGTGAATGGGTGGATGACTGAATGTAGTGTAAAGCGCTTTGGGGTCCTATGGACTAGAAAAGCGCTATACAAATGCAGGCCATTTACCATTTACCATTTACTCTTTGAGTGCTGTGTTGGAGTCAAGTTTTGACTCTTAAATGGTTTAATCTAATATTAAACTCAGAAATTTCTAGTTAGCATTGGATAATACACTTCTGCCCCAGCATTATCACATCTACAGGTACACAGGGGTCGATTTTTTTCTATGTCCACGCTCCCTCATGGTCAAATTATTTGTCAAAATAGCATCAGTCTAGATTTTGCAGCCTATTTTACCTTTGAATCGTGGAAATGTTATATAAGACTGCTCAATGAGTTTTGGATATAAAAAATACAGTGTCCTACGGTTTCTTACACTTAAATGAGTGCAAAACAGAGGTCATATTGTTGTGTGTTGCCCTTCCACTAAGGTCCATATAGGTCTGCTTCCCTAACCTATGGAATCAGGGTGGGTCCTTCGTAATTAATAAATAATAATGATCAGAAACAATCATTATCTCTGTCAGTGCGCCCCAGGGCAGCTGTGGCTACAATGTAGCTTGCCATCACCAGTGTGTGTATGTGTGTGTGTGAATGGGTGGATGACTGAATGTAGTGTAAAGCGCTTTGGGGTCCTTAGGGACTAAATAAAAGCGCTATACAAATACAGGCCATTTGCCGTTTTTCATTATACACAATGAAATTAAATTAGTAAATACATTGCACTCATTATTGATTTTTACAATTTCATGTGTTGACCAGAACTCACCTTATATATTCAAGTTTTTCTGAGCCTACTTGAAAATGAATAAAATATCAAGTGGAAATCTGAAGATTTCCGGGCTGGGCTTATGGGTAACAAATACCTTCCTTGTATTTAAAATTAGCTATGTTTCTGTATTCTTGCTAGCTTCGCGCTAAGTCCTCAACAATAGAGAGGGTTTGTGAGGATCACAGTATAATAACTGTCAACCTGACTTTGGCGCTTTAATAGTCAAAAGAACAATTTAGAGTTTGCGTACCAATACCATCGTACTATATCGTACCAATGATATAATTAAATTTTGCATTTAGGATACAACTTACCACGGTAGCGTTACGGGTACAGTCGATAAAGGTTACTAGGCAACCGTAAACTTCCGTAGCTGGCGTCTGCGCAGTCTCAGTCAGACACCAGTCGCTGTGGAGTTTTAACACACAGGATGTACGCGCTTATTTACGACCGCTTACAGAATAAAAGTCATTTCTAGGAGTTACTGACATGTTCAAAGCTAATTTCTTAATGCTGTGGTAACATTTTATCTCCAGCCAACAACTGTGAGAGGGCTGGAGGAGCCTGTAAGAGAGTAGACAAATATTTAGATTCAATTTATGGCCTCATTTTGGGCAGTGATCTTTGTTTTGATAACCACATAAATACGGTTTAAATACTGCCTTCTATCACTTAAAGGTTATATCTAGGACTATAAAATTCCTGTCTCAAACTGACTATGAGATGCATTCATCTCATTCATGGGTTTAAGTTGGTTATATTATTGCAGCACTCTATTTGAAGGACCAAATCATCAGCACAACATCTCTGGCTTATTCAAAATGCAGCAGGCAGAATCCGTACAGGTAGATGGAAATTTGACCTCATTAACTTAGTTTTGAAGTTACTTCACTGGCTCCCAGTGCTATATATACATTCTTCTATTAGTTCACAAAGCTCTCAATGGTTTGGCCACCCAGTATGTCTCTGACTTGCTGACTGTCAAAAACCCAGACTGGGTCTTTTAACTGTTCTCAGAATCAAATCTCAGTCTGTTGAGGGTGCTTTCAGTTTTCTGGAACAAGCAGCCTGCTGACTTGAGATCAAAAACAGACTCAAAACCTTTTTGTTCACACAGGTCAATAAGTGTTGTTGTTTTGCTTTGTTCTGTCTTTAATGCCTTCAGTTTCCGTACACATTCGGTCTCATGTATAAAATGTCTTGTATAAATAAAATTGCCAGAAGGAGAAAAGAAAGGAATAGGGAAGAAGTGTTCAGTGAATCAATTCCACTTCCTGTCAGTTATGATCATAACGAATTACAGTAGTCCAGCCTAGAAGTAATAAATGCATGAACTAGTTTTTCAGCATCACTCTAAAACAGAATATTTCTAAATTTAGTGATGCTGTGCTAATGGAAGAAAACAGTCCTACATATTTGTTTAATATGTGCATTGAAACATATCCGTCTCTTGATGGCAACAGTTATAAAACAGTATGTAAGGACTGGAAAAAGTTACATCACAACTAAAACTTCCAGACGTGAAAGAAAACGATGAAGTTCTTGAGTTCTTTACCTATAATACCTTTAGGTACAATAAAGAGATGGTTACAGCTCCAACTATAAGCTTTAATAAAAATCAACGTGATTTAAGTGATGAACTGAGCCCAACATCAAATTATTATTATTCTATTATGAAAACAAGACCCACTGCTAGAGAAGATAAACTAAGCATTTGCAACCCAAATTGTGAGAAAGCAAAAAACAACAATAAAAAGCTTTGACAAGATTTATTTTGCTCTATAAATAAGGCAGATACACATAATCACTGGATTTGGCTTTGAAATTAAAATGTAAATTTTAAAAAGTCATGAATAATTCACAGATACAAATAACTTCATGAGCTTTACATATATCATCAAAAAATTCTCTTTTAATTCTCTTTATACCAAAAACATTGACACAAAACCTGAAACCATAACCCACTTAGACTTCCAAAATACAAGGGAAAAAAAAAAAACCCCTCAACATTAACGCATGTACTGTAGTACATCTGTAAATGTCACTTCACAACGCTTTGTCAATACAAGATGTGTACCTGTGAGCAGAAAGAGCAGTCCAACTCTGGGCCTAATTAAAGGACTTTGGTTAAGATTAGAAACACAGTTAAAGAGCTTTTTTTTCTTTTTCCCCCAGAAGGGTGCACATTCTTGGCAATAGGTTTATGAACCAGTCTGTACCTTAGCTTCACTGAAGTGTCCTTCTACATACAGTGTGGAGGTTAAAGTCGTTTTAAAGCACTGTCACATATCTTAATTAAAACTGTTAAGTGCATCGATAAATAAGCCACTCAGCTCTCCGTAAGCCCGATTATCGAATAGGACATGTCTAAAATGATATGCAAGGTGAGCTAGTGTTTATCATAAGAAAACCTTCATTAGTATTTGTGCAATAATTTGCATATCCCAGTCAAATGTTTGCCGGGAGAAAAGACGTTTCCATTCAAAAACAACTGAAGCCACAAACACCCGTACGTACATTCAGCAGACGTGTTACAGGGCTCTTACTTCTCAGACATACACTTATAGTCTCTATCATTTTAAATTCTATGTAGCATTTCTAACGTTGCACTTATTTGTTGCGTACTTGTCATAAGCATTAAATTTACGCTGTGAACGACAGTTCCTACATGACGCATGTTTGCTCTTGAGCATTTCTTCCATGTTAACACGGATAATGGCATCAGCGGCATTAATAAAAAAAACAAGGAAAAAGAAAAAAAAAAGAACAGGGTTTGGCAAGTGAACGGGGTGTTCAAGATCTGGTCACAGCACAAATCAATACTGTAAGTTAACACCTGATTAAAAGTCGCTGACACAAAGCCACTTAAAGGTTTAATCTTTTTCGGTAAATAAACATCAAGTATCTGATTTATTTCGCCTGTTTCTCTAGAAAAATCTACATACATCACGCTGTGAGCACCACTTGCTCAGTCTCTAAACTAAAAAGGCCTACCATGCGCCGTCTCACTGTCTCATCACGTGCAGGCTGTAAGGTATGTGGTGAATGCTCTCACATTGACATGTTCATAGCACATTATATACTTATATGTTCTCCTCTTATTAGCTTAACCCCCTCCCAGTTTTGAGCCAAACGTGACTCCCTTCATATGTCCATCCTTAAACTCTAAAAGACAAATCAATCTATCCTCTGATAAATACCACTTAAGGGAGCAGCAAGCAACAGTTTGTTTGTCATTAGTGTTTATTTGGTCGACTCTACCTTGTTCTTGTAGAATTCATAGTCTATTCTATGGGAATGTGTTCGTGTTACAGTAGCGTCAGACCTATCTACTTTGGCTCCGGTTTCCATTCTAAGACCCTGTAATAGTTAGGAAATACTGTAAACAATCATCATGGCTGGCTGGTGCTCTCCCTCTCTGGCTGGGAAGGCTCTGGGTCCACTGGGGGGCCAACTAAAGGGCCACCAGCTGTGCGTGGGTCCATGGCAGAATGCATGATCGGCAGCCACACGTCATCCATGTTTGGCATTACAAGGATTTTCTAAAAGATGGAGAGATAATGGACAGGCAGTATTTAATATGCTTGATTCAGCGTGAAACCTAAAGTGAAGTGGTTAATTTGCCCAGTTTATTAATAAAATGCACTCATGTTCCTAGTGCATTAATTGACTAGACTGAAAATGGGTGGAAAATTTGAATAATTTCTAGGGATTTCCGTGTGTCTTGGGTCTGAGTGAAACATCTCCATTGGTAGGTGTTCAGGAAGCATCCTAGTCAGATGCTTGAACCCACTCAACTGAATCCCTTTGATGTGAAGTAGCAGCAGCTCCCTAACTAACATGCCAGATGAGTAAAAACTGCCAAAAAAGGTAATTAAGGAGCTGAAATGTTGACTGTGTAACAATCTACAGCTAATGATGTTAACACTTGTTTTTAACCTCCACTCCATTACAAAAGTGCATGCACCCAAAAATGTGTCTCAAGTGCATCAAATCCTCTAAACACCATCTGCTGTTGTCATAATTGTGCGCATGGTTGAGGACTACAACTGCTGGCATCACTGCCTTGCTCTACACTTTACCCTACATACTAATATGCATACATAAATCCATACATAGACGAAGACCATAAGCACATCAGCAAAGTGTGTCTTTTTAGCTCTACCTTCTGTACGGAACCATAAATAAATGTTGCTGTGCTCCGAAGTATGACTGTGTCAGTGACTTACAAAAATTAAAGAGAAATGTTGTGTTTACGATACCTCGAATTCCTGCTTCAGTTTTTTCTCTATCCAGTCTGTGACATGAGCCAGAGTGACTTCTCTTTCTCCCAGTTTAGGTCGTGCCTTCAGTTCCAGGTGAGGTGGTGTCCTGAAGCCATACCTGCACCAGAAAACAATCAACACCCTCACCATCACGGCTAACGACTGACATATGGCCACCACTAGAGGGCAGTAAGAGACTGTATAAAGAAATACACATTTATTTAGCTGAGTAATTCCACCAGTTCCGGGTATCCTCACAGTTTACTTAATAAACAAAGGTAGTTGGATTTAAGTTTAGGGTAAAGGTATCTGGAGTCTAAAAAACTGTTTACAACAAACGTGTTGTTGTCATTCTGGTAAACCTGCACCTTCACTCTGTGCATTCCACAGGTTACACAGCAGGACAAGACTTTCATCACATACCATATCCTGTCAGTAGGAGGAGGGGGAATGTTGACTGCCAGTGTTCCTTGGAGCTCCTGCACCTCCACCGTGAGCAGCAGCGGTGTGTTGGACACTTCTTCCATTTTCTTTTTGATGAACTCTGTCTCTGTGGCCTTCTGGAAATATTTGGACTTTGTGATCTTGTCCACAAAGCGCATGATCTTGCTCGATTTATGTCCTCCAACAAAGCTGTATTTATTAAAAGGAAGATTTGGGTTAAACAATGCAAACTTTCCTGTAATCCAGTAATTCTATTTTTTCATTTTGATTTCTTCTATTATTTAGTTTTATTAGTGAAATAAATACAGATGTGACAGGTGAAATTATTTTAGAATTAGTTATCAGAAATGAATTACACATACATTTTTTTTTAGACAGTCCCAGTTCCAATTAAATTTAACCAGTACTTTTGTAACCTGAAGTAATCATAACACTCATTTCCTGTTTACATTTACAGTCCTTTGATTACAAAAAGCACGCCCCTTTACACTCACCCCTCCGCTCCAGTCAAATCATTGGAAACATCTGAGGAGTCTTCCTCATCTGATGAACCTGCGCTGGATGACTCTTCATCACTGTCAGCCAAGCAGTAAGTTCGTGGCCTGTATCTAGAAACACATGAACAAATAAATGAGGATTGTAATGTGCTGGCTTCTATGCATTTATTAACGGTTTTGCTTTGTGTTTTTTATTGTTTTTAATATGCCATCTATGATTACTCACATGCACATATGCTTATAACGCTGTTTTAATAAACAACTTAGTAAGTTACTAAAAAAGAAAAGAAAAACAAAGCTTCACGAAAATTATTTTCACAATTTTTCAGGTGGTGTACACCTTGTTTCCTCATGAGACCTTGAAAAAAAAAAAAGCCCCCTTTCTATTATTTTTGGGAATCCCCAAACATTCATATTGTAGACCAGTGGTTTTAATTTGCACCATTTACACCAAAAGGCAATGGAAGAATTGACAGGACACCTGTATCCGTATCTGTCATGTGACATGTTCTCAGTTCTTCTTTTGATTGTACTGTGAGACAGAGGAATTTTTGACAGCCGACTTTGGTTCAGGCCCAGTGGTCTAATCACTCTTAGACGTGATGTTTAGTTTCCAAATGCCTCTTTGGCATGCTTGGCAGAATGGCCAATGTCTCCTGACAGCTGCTGAAATCCCCGAGCTGACTAAAGCCAGAAGATAGAAAGATTATTATTTTTTCTCTTGTCTTTAGACAGTGGGTTATCTGTATGGTTAGCTGAAGTTTGCTCAACACAAGAAAAGTGATCCTTTGACAGGAGTGACTGGATGAGAAATGGATGGATGGCACAGATGACTGTCAATACATGACCTTATCCTTATTTAATGTCAGAAAATCAATTATTTCTGCTGTCAGATACTTTTTACTCTTTCAGAGCTTTCTAATAACTCTTGACAGTAGTACAGAGTGTCACAACATACCAGGACTTGAAAAAAGTGGAATCTGTGCCTCCTGATCTGTACTTACATTAACATACTAACATGTTACTGCTCTGTAGTACAAAGACGTAATCTGAGGGATGAAAATGGAGAGAGATGAAGTAAAAGCTAATGAGATTATAGCTGGTATTAGGAAATGACGACTCCCAAACTAGAGAAACTGTAACTGGAAAATGAAAGCTGATGCTGATTAAAGCACTCACCGAGGGAAGAAATGCATCCGATTAACAACCCCATATAGGCAGAATCCAAAGTTAACAGCAGGGAAAAAGAAGGGGGGGGGGGAGAGGTATAGGAGACAGAAAAGACAAAACACTGAGAGAAACAGGTGAGGTACCGGACAGTGTACTAGATACTAAAGACCACACGCGTTGTTTAAGTCCCAGAAGAAACCCCCCCCACAAAACTCTGCATTAAATCCAACAAAGGCTGTTCCAACAGGTGCACACAGTATTGTGGTGGAG